ATTGTCAACAGAATAAATGCAACGTGGGCTATGCGTTCATCAACATGATTGATCCACAACAGATTATTCCATTCTATAAGGTTTGATATAGGGACCAGATGTTGCAGTGATTTTTATTTTTAAAAATTTTTTTTATTTGTTATTTTTATATATACCGTTTTTATGTGAGCATGTAGTTATCTAACCAATTTGCAGGCATTCAATGGCAAAAAATGGGAAAAGTTCAACAGTGAAAAGGTGGCATCACTTGCTTATGCTCGGATTCAAGGGAAAGCTGCTCTTATCGCCCACTTCCAGAACTCAAGCTTGATGAACGAAGATAAACGATGCCGTCCTATTCTCTTTCATACTGATGGCCCCAATGCTGGAGATCAGGTAGATTATCAGTTAACACTATTGAACTAGGTCATGTGATTTTTCTTGCCCTTCAAAGTTTGTTATTCTTTATTATTATTACTCATCTTCCCCTACCGTACTTGTGTTTCCATGAAAAAGTTAGTTGTCTACATGCTTGTTAAGCATTGAAACTTTATGATTTCCCTAGGGAAGATTTCTAAGCTTTAGATGGTAAAAGTTTTCTGTTAGACAACATTAACAGGCTTTGATGTCCATAATGGATATCTAAAGTTTAACAACCTACACTACATGAAAGGGGTGATTACATTAAGTCATTAAGCACTCTCTGTTACTTTGAATCCAAGTGACTTGTTTTCTTGCTGATGCAGGAGCCTTTTCCCATGGGTACTAACATTCGATCAAGACCAGGGAGGCCTCGAGCAGCTAGCCCTGAGAATAACGGCCAAGTTAACTCTTCTACTTCAGCTAAGGGCGAGGAGCCCAATGGGGCAGATTCTTCATCAGGTTCTTCCAAGGACTCTGACTGAGTGCAGTCTGCTTTACTAAGCACTAACTGTAAATGCTGTTTCAGAGTGAGAAGACTTTATCCACCCCATTTCTGTGTATCAGGGGTGGCCTGACTATCCCTTTTTGCTATGGAGGAGCAGTTTTGATAACCAGTGCATCTCGGAACTACAGTTTCTTGACTATTTCACCGTTTTTACTGAAATTTTTGTATCAATGCCCATGTGAACATAGAGAACAGCTTAAAAGAGCTTCAAATTTTGGGTAGTCCACTCTCTGACCAAACCATATATATATCCTGATGTACAGATGTTCCTGGGCTTATGCATGACTCCCGAGGATCTCTGTTGTTTTCAGTTTTGGATCCTGATGTTTCCATGTAATTTCCCTCTTTTTGTTGCGCAATTGAGAGATATGTGTCATGTTTTAAGTATTCTATCCATGCAATTTTTTTTGCGTACTTTTGTCTTTGGTCATGAAATGCATCATCCCGTTTTTGTCGTTGCCTTGTATTCTTTATCTTTGGAAGGCAAAAAAATAAGTAAAATGGCTTAATTTGGAAGTGTTGGTTTGTAATTGCAATGGATGACTTTTTGGCTTTTTAATATTTTAAAAATGTGTAAAATATATTTAATTTATTTAATATTTATTTTAGTTAATATTTTATATATTTTTTTTAAAAAAAAAACTAAAGCTTGAGAAGCCAAACGAAGCCTAATCATCAATAAAAGGCTAAATATTAGTGTATGAATTTCTGGAGATGTCTAGATTGACTGTTAAAATAAGTTCAAAGATCAAGGATTCAAAAATGAAAAGTTAAAAATTTGAGATTTTAAATTAAAGATTTTGAGAGGATTAAGAAATGAAAAGTTAAGAGATTAAAACTTTGAGTTAAAGATTTTGAATTTGAACTCTAAAACGAGTGGAGGGTTTCTCTTGTATATAACTTATTATTTGATATATTGAAAAAATAGTAATAGTATTAGAGCTTGGTTTTTTTGAAAAAATCAAATAGTTAGAGTGCCAATTTATCCAAGAAAAGAAGTAGAGGGGTTAGATTGAGAATGTCGTTTATAAACTTCTACTAAGCTTATTTCGTTATTATTGGTTCTGGATGCTGTAGCGGAAATGCAGAGAAAATCACTGATATCTGAACTTTTTCGATCGCAAAACCTCCATTATGGATTCAATCAGAGCTTCTTTTTCTCCTCAGAGAAAACCCAAATCCCATCACCACTCGCCGACCCAGATGATTCTCTGTACGCCGATGTCCCGAAGCCTCAGCGAGATAAGTCGGAGAGGAAGCCGTATCCCACTCCGATGAAAGTTCTGATTGAAAGGGCGAAGAAAGAGAGGGAGGTGAGAAAAGCCCAACCTTGTAGAGTGCTCGAAGACCCACCAGGGAATGGGTTGTTGGTACCTGAACTCGTCGACGTGGCCCACCGAGTGTATCGAGCCCGTGAATCCCTGCTCTCTGGTGTGGCTAAGCTCATCCGAGTTGTTCCAGTACAGCGCTGCAGGTACGTGAACGCAATGTGCTTGATTATATGCCTAAATGAAGCTTCGATTATAATTTGTAGGATTGAGTTATCAATAATGCCAAAAAAATTGGTAGTTTTTATGTTGGCAAAAAATAAAAAAAATGGTATTGGTATTTGGTAGTCGCTCTGGCTATCTTTGGCATTAGTTCCACCAATTTTAAGATGATTCACCTCTTTTGGTTTGTTTACTCTCTGCTTGTTCTTTTATTTCTCCTTGAAGTTTAAAGGTTTTTAAGTAATTTGTTTTGTGTAGGGTTGAGTAACTTACTAACATGGTTGGTGGGTTTTTGTAAAACAAAATGGTGAACTGAGATATTTTGATTAGATGGGTGCAATTAAAGACTGCCATTATTGTTTTATGTGATTGAGTAGAGCTTCATGTTTCCAATATTCAATTTTTTGTAACTTCTGTAAATCTGCTAATGTGACTCTGCTTGATTCATCTTGTGATAATATCAATGAGGTTTTTTGATCTTAGGTTCTGCCATGAGGTTCACATAGGCCCTGTAGGACATGAAATCCGAACCTGCACTGGTCCAGAAAGTGGTGTACGGAGTGCCACTCATGTTTGGAGAAAGGGGAGAGTGCATGATGTGGTCTTTTTCCCTAAATGCTTCCATCTCTATGACCGTGTTGGAAAACCAAGGGTTACTCATGATGAGTGGCATAGTGTCAAGCAAATTCCTGCTGTTGTAGAGCTTTGCATACAAGCTGGGGTAGACATTGAAAAGTACCCTACAAAGAGAAGAACAAAACCTGTCTATTGTATTGAAGGAAGAATTGTAGATTTTGAGTCAGATATGGGAAATGATGAAATGGGGATGAAGTTGTCCTCTCAAAAGCTTCATCCTTCACCGGACTCTTATAA